TCCCCAGTCCATGTGTTTGTGTCCATTGTAGTTATATATTATATGTTTAGAACCATATAAACACCTTCTTTTTTATATATTCATATATATAGAATGGGGTTGATTTCTCCTTACAGGGTTAGAAAGGTGTCAGCAGTATCCTTTACTGAGAATGGAAGGCAAAACAGTTTTCCTTTGTTCTTCTCACATTCTGCACAAATTTTATTTCTTTCTAGGTAACTTGTAGAATGCCATACCTACCAAGAGAACTTAGATCCATAGACGGGCTTCCTAAGCACACAAAGAGAAATCCAATATAGAGAACTGGGCTGGTTCACTCCATCTAGGTAATCTACCTTAACCTTAAAATTTCTGAAACAACTAGACTGCAAATGGTTGAATGCTCAACACTGCAACCTGTCACCAAAAATTCAACATAACTGAAAATAAATACCAGCTGACAATTTCTTCATATTACAACATATTTCTCACTATTGCACACTTGTATTGGCTAAGCATATGCAGATTTTAAAGTATTTTGCAATATATTTGTTCCTTTTTAAAAGTTGACTTGTAAAGTAAGAACAAAACATCATATAGAAATTTGGAACAATTAATTCCAACTTAAAAATAATATGCTTTCTGTGGAGTAGAAGGAATACTGGAGTTGGAGCCAGAAAACCAGGGCTCAAGGTTTGGCTGTATCATGTATTAGCTGTGTGGATTTGTGTAAATTAATAGTTAAGTCTTCAAAAGATGAGTCTTCTTATCACCTAAAAGTAATAATAGTAAGTTTATTGAACTCTTACTATGTGACAAAAAATTTATGTATTAGTCAATCAAAACTTAATAATAATGCTAGGAAGTGGGAATTGTTATTATCATCCCCATTTTATATAGATTTTATAGATTATGAAACAATCCTCCAAAAAACCCAAACCTGTTGCCACTAAGTCTATTCCAACTCATCGTGACCCTACAAGACAGAATTTGTCTCATAGAGTTTCCCAGGCTGTAATTTTCACAGAATCAGAATGCTACATCTTTCTCCAACAGCAGGTGCTTTTGAAACACTGACCTTTGGATTAGCAGCCTTAACTACTGCATTACCAGGGCCCCTTTGAAACAAGCCTAGAGAGGTTAAATAACTTGCTCAAGGCAACGTTGAGGCAGTCTGGCTTCAGAACTCAACTCTTAATCACTATAAAGCCTGCTCTTTCACAATACCTTCTTCACAGAGTTGTCATGAAAATTCATATGTTTATATAGATATATATAGGGAGATCAGGTGACACAGTGCCAAAGGCATTTGACTGCCAACCAGAACGCTGGCAATTCAAACACACCAGCCCTCCTCAGAAGGAAGGTTGGGCAATCTACTTCCGTAGTGATACCGCCTTGGAAACTCAAGGAGGGGTCACTATGAGTCGGATCCGACTCGTCGGCAGTGAGTTTATACATTCTCCCACTAAAAAATTCATTTAATTCACTTATGTCTCTCTGTCTGCATATCTAACTATTCATCTAGTTCATCTAACCATCTATCCTGTCTACCCATCCATTCACCCATTCAGTCACTGATTTATCCATCTATCCATCCAATATGTATTGAATGCTTACCATGTGCTAGATGCTATTTTAGGTACTGGAAACCTGCTTCTTATTACTAGGCAAAAATGTGGCCCCCAAAGTTTTCATTGAAAACTCTGAAGTAGAAGTCACAAATTCAAATGTAGTAGGATGCATTAGGGTGAGGAAATAAATGAACTGGCCCAGGGGGATTCCACTGAATTGGTGTCTGAACAAGAAGTCAGAGCACAGCTCCAGGGAGTTCAAGGCATACAGGTATAGTTTTTCCAAATTTCTGATATTTCAAGAGAATCCACATATCTGGGTTTTTATGTGAAATTTCTATTTTTAATGCTGGTGAATAATTTTAATGTTTCACAAACATTACATGAGCTAAACAAAATGTATCTGTTATTTAGACACCTAGGTATCCCCATTTGCTACCATTTTGCAACCTCTGCTGTATACTCTGAGGACATAGTCTTAGAGATGTGCAAATTCTTCAATATCTAGTATCTTCATCATCTGATTTCTGGTGAATTAACAACTAAGTAATCTGGCTTTCAAAGGATAATCTTGTTGCATTGACCATTTAATGATCAGATAAACCATATAACCACCAGATATCTTCTCCTCTAAGGTTAGAAAGCTTAGCTTACATGAGAACAGGCAAGGTCCTTATTCAGGCAAGAAGTGGTAAAGTTCAAATGCTACCTTCACCATGACTCTCTCTCACCCCTCCACAAGACAACAAGAGCATGGGTCATGTTTTATTCAACATCTTTATAAACTCACCAATCACTGCCTGCCATAGTTCCCTGCAGTATCCATACTTGATAAATATTTGCTGAATTGAATTTCACTCCACATATGTTCTCTGATTTTTATTTTAAATCTGGTATGAAAATTGAGGTTACTAAACTATTCCCATTTAATTAATATTTTTTTTTTTTTTATCTTTAAGGTCATGCCTGCATTATACCAAAGGAACTATCTATTTTAGTCAGTTTATTAGAACATAAAAATCAGACAAATCAGACTTGTAATTACACATCTAATCATGACTTGCTTTCATTCTGTTTTATCTAGACCAGCAAGACAGGCAAAATAGAATTGGTAAAGCACAACACATTTGAATGCTTTTTTAAATTAGAAATGTGATGGTACTTAATATTACATTACTAGTTAGTCTTGCTTTAATAACCAAATGTGATTTATGGAGCTAATTTCTTTAGTATAGCAATCAATATAGTAGAATACTAGTACTTTCCCCTAACTAGATGAAAAGTTCATATAATGTCTTTAAAAACATAGAAAGCACTATGGATAAATAAATAAATACCCCTGCCAAAAAAATCCTCCCTGAAACAATTTTTAAAATATACTAAGACTTGGAACATTACTATTTTTTAAAATGTAGAGAATCCTAGGGAGGATTATACCATCATACAAATAAGTGTGAGAAAATAATCACCACACAAACACCACCTGCAATTTTTATTCTTCACATTTATCATGAAGCTCATAAAATTCATGGTGCAAAATATCTGACAAAAAATGCCCTCCTTAAGAATACTAGGAGAACTCTGAATGCTAACACATGGTGGCTGTTGATGAAATCTTGTTTTACTGAATATAATCAATAAAATGTAAATATTTCTTACATTTCACAAGTTCACTTGGACTTGAAACACCTACATGCATAATTTAACTCAAAACCCCTTCTAATTAGTAACACCCACAATGAGTCCTTTCCTTTGAATCATTTTCCAAAAAGTAAATTCTCTTGCTTAAAAGAATGCATTCTGGCTTCTTAAGATCTTTATCTTTTCTCCCACAAGCTTCTGAAGGCTCAACTATTTTTGCAAAACACTCTGTTCCACTCTACACATACACTAGTTGGTCAAACACTTTATCAGATGTAATCAGCACATCTGGAAGTTCTTTTTATAAATTTCAGTTTTAGAAATATGAGTGTTCACAGAACTGTCCTCAGATAACCAATAACTTTACGACTAGAAACAAAGCTGCTTAAACTTCTGTAAAGTGTTCCAATTATGTGGTTGATTTCAGTCTCTCTTGATTCCATACAAAAATACAACCAAATTCTTAATAAGCGGTTGCTTTTTCTATTTAAGCTTTTACAAATCTCAGAAATTATCAAATGTTCCATCTGCATAAGTCAAGTGATATAATTAGACATTCAGAATTTTTTTTTCTCTGGAAAAATAAGAGAATTAACATTTGGTTGAAGTATTATTACATGAGTCCAGTTAAATTTCCTGACCTTTCTGTAACTGCTCTGGGAAGTGAAAGTTTTCACACCCCTTTGAAGAACCATAGCTGAAGAAGTGATCTTTGTATAGGTTGAAATGTGAGAAAAAAGTAAGGATAATTCATTTCTAAATGTAACTTGCAGCATTTTCACTTAAATTTGAATTTGTGGATACAAATAAGGCTTCACTATTGCAGCAAATGATAATGTGAAAAGGAAGACTAATGAATCATGAAACATCAATGTCATTAGAGAATTTAGAGTGCAGCTGAAGGTGTCTGTGAGGAGGAAAAATGAGCAATTGTGCCTGATAGTCCCTACATAGATATTTGGCAATTGGTAGGAACTTAGACTTGAATGATCAAGTCTAACACTTGTTTCACAGATAAGAAAACTGAGGCCACAAAGAAACTTTTACCAAAGAGTATAAGGAAAATAATTGACTTGAAGTATAGAGCAGGAGCTCTGGTGGTGTACTGCCTAAGGTATCTGACTACTAACCAGAAGGCTGGTGGTTCAAATCTACTTTTGTAGAGATACTGCCTTAGAAACCCAAGGAGGGCTCACTGTGAGTTGGATCTGACTCGATGGCAGTGAGTTTGGTTTTTGGTTTTCATAGAGCAACTAATGGGATGTTCTCTGATATTAAGCTGCTCTAGATACTCAATTGATAATCATTTTTGCACCCTCATTTCAAGCCACATTTCTAATTCCCTGCTATGAATGGTTCTATTCTACTCCTCAGGATTTTGTGTCCTAATTTCAAAAATAAAACAAAGTTAAAGAAATCCATATCCCTAATCCCCCCACTTGTATTATTGATTCCAAAAAAAACATTTACTTAAAGTTATCACAGGATTTGATAATATCATGCTATGGAAGCTCAAACCATATCACTTTAACAAATTCCCTCCACATCCCACAGTATCTCTCCTTTACTGCCTTCTCTTCAAGAGGCTAGTCTTCTGTTTCCAGCACAAAGACCCTTTCTGAAAGTGAACTAAGTCACTTTTGGCCAGATGTAAGCAAAAAGGAAATATTTTTCAATATTTACCTTCATGGGTATTTTTACCTTTATTTTTTTGTGTGCTTGCAACTCAAATGAAACACCAGCTTGAAAAGGCAGGGCCCAGACCCGAGTGGCCTGGCCATCCAGACTGCACCTGCCACCCTTTACCTGTTTGCAAGACCATAGTTCTCTCTTCTCCATCCAGAGACACAATCCTGAGGTTATAGATGGTTCCTGCTTGTAAATCCTTGAGGTTACATTCATAGGTGGTGGTGTTTATCTGCACGGGGTAGCACCACGCAGTGCCCGAAGTATCACTGTTATAGATGAGGCTAAAGTTACAGGGTGACCCCAAAGTTCTCCACTGGAGAGACACGGACTGGCTGGAGACCGTGGGCTCCATCAGGGTGAAGTTGCATCTCACTGGCTCCCCCAGTCCAGTCTGCAAAGGAACCAGAGACAACAGCTGAAGCCCGTAGTCCGGTCTGCCCAGGGATGTGTACATCTCAAGTTTCGCAAGCTCGCCCCCAGCCTCAGGCCATCCTTTTACCCTCCAGCCAGAGAAAAGGCTGGTGCCTGCGGGGATGCCAGGTGGCAACTTTCTCCCCAGGTCCTTTCCCTCAGGCGCAGCGCAGCGCGGGAGATGGCTATTTGTCTTTGACAGCAGGCTGTAGAGTCAGTCTGCCTGGGGCAGAGAGGACAATCGTTCTCTAGGGAGGGGAAGCAATTTTACCACCTTACTTGCCAAAACACACGAGAGACAGGAAAGTGGGGTGGGAAACTGGTTCTCGGTGGGGAGGAGATGCATCAGCCCCGGATCCCTTGTCGGGCCACTCACCTGCAGCAGGCTCAATGTAATCCAGAAGGCCAACTCGACTCTATGGTTCCGCATTGCGCTCAGCGATTAAAACTCAGACTAAACGGAAGGGGTTCAGACGCAGGGCAGCCTGAAGGTCCGCGTAGGGGGTACCTAGACGCGAGGAGCCGGAGGCGCAGCCGCGGGTGTAATACCTGGCCACTTGTTGCGCGCGCGCTTAGCGCGCCCCGGGGGCGCAGCGCGCTTCCCTCGGGTCTGGCGACTCTCGGGGGCCTCCGCGGCTGCAGCTACTGCTGTTGCTGCCGCCCCGGGCGGGCTGAGGACGCGAGAGGCGGCGGGGGCAGGCAGCGCGCCGCCCTTCCCACGCTGCCATTCTGACCTGCGCTGCCTCGCCCCGAGCCCCGTCCACGGACTTCCGCAATCAAAAGGCAATTTCCTCGTCTCCCGGCAAAGGAACAATGCGCTGGGGAGGGAGGGATCCCTGAGGAGCCAACGCCTGAGGCTGCCAAGGGGGCCCGAGGCGGGCCAAGCTGTCCCCGTTGCCCTGCGCCGCCGCCTTTCGGGCAAGGGTCTCGGCCAGGCGCGCGGGGCTCTGCCTTCTCCTCCTCCTCCAGGACTTTCACTTTTCCCCACTCTGTGGTCCTCGACCCAGTCCTTTTAGCCACAATTAGTACTAGCTCCCTCTCACTTTCCAGGCCCCCACCCCCGCCCCTTCCTCCCTCCACACCCAGCACTCCCCCTCCCTATCTTCCTTCCTATCTTCCTCATCTGCTTTCTCCAGGGCCTCTTTTCCCAGGATTAAACTTGACCACACCAGATTTCCCTAGGTCGCTACCCTCCTTCCTGAAGCCTTTTATTAGAGTGCTTTTGCCCTTCTCACCTCAAATCATGCATCTGTCTCAACGCGCATCCCCTTGACACCAGCAAGAGAAAAAGACCCCAAACTGATCCCTTCTGTTGTCAACTTGACTTTTTCATTCTTTTCTCCCAGTCACTAGGTCGGTATCTTCCTCGAATGATACAAGACAACAACGAATATAATCACCACCAATTGTTCACCCTAAGTGAAGCAGCTTCATAACTGACCATCCATTAGTTAAAGCCATTCCATCCATAATTGTCCAACCAATAAAGTAAAACAATTTTAAGGTCTCATTTTGGAAAATACTACTGAAATGGCTCATCTCCCCACAAGAAATTGCATTTTGTCTTCAGCTCTAACTTTATGCTTTTTCTGTAACTTTCTCAGTACTCGAATGATATCTGGAAATGGATTTTAGAATAGTTCTCAATAACTGAAAAGCAAAACGTTTCCTATTGCTTTCATTTGGGTATCATTCTTAACAACTGCTGAAAGAAGGGGGATGAGTATCATTCCATATCTTAATTTCCAAAACAAAATCACTCTGAAGCTAACTCAATAAAAAAGGATGACAGGTTCTTTTCTTTTTCAAATAGAGGGGTTATAGATAGAGCTGTGGGAGCTCTGGTGGTGTAGTGCCTAAGACATCTGACTGCTATCCAGAAGGCTTGCAGTTCAAACCCACCAGCCACTCCTTGGAAGGAGGACTGAGCAATCTACTTCAGTAGAGATATTGCCTTGGAAACCCAAGGAGGGGTCACTATGAGTCGAATCCACTCCAGGGCAGTGAGTTTTTTGTTTTTTTTTTTCCCTGTACAGAGCTATAGTAATGGCTGCTATACTAGGGTATTTACTTTGAGGAAAGGCTGGAGAAAAAGGTAAAATTATTTTTATACTTTTAGAAAACATTTTTTTAAAAAAATCTATTAATGAAAAAATAAAGTGTCTGCCCCTTAAGAGATTCTGCAATCTCTGCTAGACCAGAGATCTCAAATCTCTTTTAAGTTAGCAAACACTCAAAGAAAGTCAAACCTAAAACAGCAAGAATTTCTAAGAAATGGAATCTCTCCTACTTCTTTGCCCAGGTCATTTTTTTACTAAAGAGGTTTTCCTCTTTTTATTATATTATGTCCCCTGCCCCCCAGCTCAATGGCTTTCCACAGTTTTGTATACATTTCAGCATCATCAGAGACAGCTCTCTTTTCCTTTCCTTAGATACTGCAAGTCTTATCACTGGCTCCTGTTGTCATCAACCTTTACAGGAGTCCTTTTCAACTCTACTCCTTCTCAAATATTATTTTTAAAATTTTTTTCTATACTCCTATCAATGAGGTTCCCTCATCTGCAAAACTAGAATAATACCCACTCTAAATACAGAGCTATAAGATTACATATGTTAAAACGCTTTTGCAAATTTTGCCATGCTGTGCTAGTAACAAGTGTTAGTTTGCCTGATAATACATATTTGCATCTGTCATAGATTGAATTGTGTCCCCTCAAAATATGTATCAACTTGGTTAGGCCATGATTTCCAGTATTGTGTGCTTGTCCTTCGTTGCATGATCTGCTGTAATTATCCCCCATTTTGTGATATGTGCTATGAATCTTCACCTCTATATGTTAATGAGGCAGGATTAGGGTGGGCTGTATCTTGAATCACACACAGGCTTAAAAGAGAGTGTGATTCAAGTCCCACCCTTACTTCAAGTCACTACCCTTATTCAAATCACACCCTTGCTTCAGTCACATCTTTATTTTACAAGAGATAAAAGGAGAGATAAGTGAGCAGAAGAAAGACCTCACTATTACCAAGAAAGGAGGGTTGGAAGTGGAGCACGTCCTTTGAAACTAGGGACCCTGAGCTAAGAACTTCCTAGATCCCAGGGGAGACTGATGCCAAGACATATGGAGATCTCTAAGGAACCAGGTAGCAGACAAGGACCTTCCTCTAGAGCTGACAGAGAGAGAAAGCCTTCCTGGAGCTAATGCTCTGAATTTCTAGCCTTCTAAACTGTAGCACCACTTGCCTGCTCACCAGAAGTCAGTGGTTCTAACCCACCAGCCACTCCTCGGAAGGAAGGTTGGGCAATCTACTTCCGTAGTGATACCACCTCGAAAACCCAAGGAGGGGTCACTGTGTTTCAGGTCTGACTCCATGGCACATAACAACAAACTGTAGTACCTAAGGCATTTGAGTGCTAATCAGAAGGCTAGCAGTTCAAACTCACCAGGCACTCCTCAGAAGGAAGACTGGGCAATCTACTTCTGTAGAGTTACCCAAGGAGGGGTCACTATGAGTTGGCTCCAACTCGACAGGAGTGAGTTTGGTTTTATAAACTGTGAGAAAATAAATGTCTTTGTTAAAGCCACCCACTTGTGATGTATCTGTTATAGCAGCACTCGATAACTAAGACAACATCTAAATCTCATTTTTTGTCACTCTTTTAAATTTATTCATCACAGAGATGGATTACTTACCTAACCTCTGCTACTCAGCCATCTGTGTCCATCTGTCTCTTTGCCCTTTTCATTGGGGTTATAAAATTTCCTCACAGATTGCCATGCAGATTTGAAATCTTCCCACCCAAACATATTAATATTCCTCTGTTTTTTGCAGATATCTTCAATAAATCCTATCTCCTCCAAGCTTTCCCAAATATCTTTTTTATTTTTTTAAATACCATATGCCACCAACATATTGTACCCTCTCAGTAAATAATTTCATTATTAGATTTCATTTCCAAAATGCAATGTAACAGACACTCCTTATAATGCAGATAAATGTACCAAAAAGATGAAAATTGAAGAAGACCAATCAAACAGGGCATAATAAAATATCCTTACAACAACAGTTTTGATATTTTTCAATTCTATGTTATTAACAATGATCCACTAACAGTGCTATTGGAAATAGGAATTAGAAAAAGAAGTGATTTCCCTAAATCTGACAATTTCATTTTGTGATCTATCAATGAGGGACACAAATATTTAGAATTATGTATCATTCATCCATGTTAACATTCTCAACGTATATGAATAATCATAGTAACACATGAAGGAAAAGACCAGAAGTAGTAGACTTTTCCAAAGCATATAACCGCCAATTCTTATGCTCTCAAATATTTGGGAGGTTCTAAGGAACCCATAAAAATGAACATAGTACGAAACAAGGAAGGAAATTTTAAACTCAGATTTTACTGATTATATTTTTCCTTTTAAACATGCAGATATTAATATGAGTAATCAGAGAGAATTGTAATAATTTCAAGGAAGTGTGGGACTGGAAAAAGCTGCCAGATACCACCTTTTCTACTAAGAGTTTATTTGAAACTACTATACAAAGAATAAATAAATTGATTCATTTTTTTCTTTGTTCTCATCTTTGTTTGGAATTCCCCAACTTCTTTTGAACCTATTCATCCTGCATAATGACACTGCATCTGTTTTGGAAGTTGCTGCATTCCAAGAATTAGAGAGCAGCCCCTCTGCAAGGTTTCAAGGGATAACCTTTTCTCTTTTCCACTACAAAACCTTTCCCAGACTACATGGGAAGGGTGGGGCTGCTTTGGATTAGATTTGAGTGAACAAGCAGCTGTCTTTCAAAAATCATTACAGCAATTAATTCATAATTAGGGTATATGAACATATATATAACCTAATTATTAATTATTAATTCATGGTGAAAAACATGGATCTTTTCACTTTTTGAACACACATGTCAAATGATAGAAAAGATCACCAAGGGTCTAAGACCACACTTTTA